CCCCCCCACAACCACAGCAGCGCATGCACAGAAAGGGCCACCACCATCGGCTCCCCAGGAGGCCCAGAGCCCAGAGAGAAGCAGAGGTCTTCCTGAGACCCCTGGCTCTTTAAGCTGCTTCGTGGGAATGTATTGAGTGAAAGAGAGAGAGAGAGAGTGTTGGCAGTGTGTGCAAGGCCATGAGGAGAGAGACGGGGTGTGTGGGGGAGAAGGGAGAGAGGGTGGCGGATAGAGAGGGGCCCCAGCTCCGTGCGTGAGGCTGTGAGGGGACAGGCAGAGTGACCAGGAGAGGCTGGCAGACAGCAGCAGACCTGCGTTATCACGTCATCACGCTCAGCAACACCCAGGCAGCCAGCAGGCAGCACTGGGACTTTGTCCTCCCCGCTGAACACTCCAGTCAGCCACTCGCAGCGGGCAGACACATGGAGACCTGCCGGGCTACACTCCTGGCCATGGCTCTGGCCGCCTTGCTGGCCCCCGGGGCCGGGAGCCCCGTCCGGGGGAAGGCCACCAGGCACAAGCTGCTCCTGGTGTCCTTCGATGGCTTCCGCTGGGACTACGACCAGGATGTGGACACCCCCAACCTGGACGCCATGACCCAGGATGGGGTGAAGGCGCGCTACATGACCCCTGCCTTCGTCACCATGACCAGCCCCTGCCACTTCACGCTGGTCACCGGTGAGTGCTGGCCTCCAGGGCCAGGGAGGGGGGTGAGGGGAGAAGTTGTGGGGACAAGGGGAGCCGGCAGAAGAGGCTCTGAGAGGTCACAGGCACCACGTGGGGACAACCAGGGGCACAGCCCGTGCTCCATGGAGGGGGCTCTGTCCCTGGGGAGACAGCTGGACAGCCAAGGAGGCCCTCAGGACTCCCGAGCTCACACACGCCAGCAAGGATGGCGCAGGGCCGGGCAGCGACTCGTCCTGCTGGACCTGGGTCACAGCAAGTCAGACTGGACAACAGCTCTTAGTGCCAACGTAATGGAGACCGTCAGCAAGGGACAGGTGGGCTCTGGAGAACTGCACGGTCCTAAAGGCAATCCAGGAAGACTCCCTGGAGGAGGAGGAGCAGGAGGAGCAGGAGGAGCAGGAGGAGGAGGAGGCGGCAAGTGGGGGCCAGAGGTCCGGCTCCTTCCCCAACTCTTCCTTGTCTTTGAAGCGTCTCAAATGGGTAGTGCAGGGGACACTTCTAATCATCCTCACGCCATCAACCCTCCTTTCACCACTGAGCTGAGCAGGGACTCCCTGGCAGAGACCCCACCCCCACCCCAGGGTGGGGCTGGGCTGAAGCTTCCTGCTGTGAGCCTGCCTGCCCCCGGCAGGGGTGAGGCTCCAGATGGCAGCCTGTTCCAGGCCCCTAAACTTGCTCTAGCCCTCATCCTGCTCCTGTACCCCAGCCTCTTCCTGTCCCCCAACCTTCTTTGGCCTCCAGCCTTCTCTGGCCCCCCAGCCTACTCCTATCCAGTCTGCTCCTGTCTCCAGCTTGTTCCTGATCCCCAGCCTGTCTCTGACTCCAGCCTGCTCCTGTCCCCCAACCTACTATGGCCTCTAGTCTGCTCAGGCCCCCCAGCCTACTCTAGGACCCCCACTGCCTCTGGCCTGTAGTCCCCCAGCCTGCTTCCCAACCCAGTGCACAGCCCTGCCCCAACTTCACCCCTAGGCCCCTGGGTACCACCACCTTGTCCTCTGCCCCTGCAGGCAAGTACATTGAGAACCACGGGGTGGTCCACAACATGTTCTACAACACCACGTCCAAGGTGAAGCTGCCCTACCACGCCACGCTGGCCATCGAGAGGTGGTGGGACAACGGCAGTGTGCCCATCTGGATCACTGCCCAGAGGCAGGTCAGGTGCCCCCTGGATGCCGGCGCGGGGTGGGGAGGGCAAGCTCAGGGGGTGCTGAGCTGAGGGAGACAGGGGTCCATGAGAAGAGCCTCAGGCTCAAGTCTGTGGACCCCCGATCCGGATGGGGGTCAGCTGCCCAGGGCACCTGGCCACCGGGTCACCCTGAGCAGATGCCTGAGACTCAACAAGAAGCCACCTGAAAGGAAAGTGGCTCTGTGATTCGTCCCCCTCCGCCACCCCACCATCCTCTCTCTGTGATCCGTCCCCCTCCGCCACCCCCACCATCCTCTCTCTGTGATCTGTCCCCCTCCATCACCCCCACCATCCTCTCTGGGCTCAGCAGCTCAGGTTCAGAGGCCAGGCGTGAAATAGGGGGTGGGGGCACACTGGAATGGGCTGTGAGTGCACAGTTCATTTTGGGGGGCACTTAGCCATGTGGGGGGCGTGTTCTAACAGTGATATGGTGATGATTGTACAATCCTCCTTGATAGGATTGAATTTTACGGTATGTAAATTATGTGCCAATAAGACTGTTAGAAAATTTAAAAGTTGGAAATAGAAACAAACATGGGGAGAAGGCAGTGAGCTCCAGACACCACCTGACCGAGAAGAAGCTGCTGTCCACAGTGAGGGGCTCATAGTGAGCCAGGGGTGAGCACCAGGACCCCCCACCCAACCCCAGCTCAGCCAACTGTGCCTAGAAAGACGAGGCCTGAGGGTAGGCGGGGAGACGTGTGTGTGCGTGCGTGTGTGTGTGTGTGTGTGTGGTTACATTCCACAGAGCTCTGCTATCCCATAAGGCAGGGAGGGTTGGGGACCCCACCCCTGTGTGTGTGTGTGTGTGTGTGTACAGATAGACAGACAGAGGCCCAAATGGGAGTCCGGTGCATGTGTTGGGGGCAGGGGAGGGGGTGAGGGGGCAAGGTCACCTCCTCCCCTTATCTGCCCTTGAGCCCACTGGCCCCTGTTGTCCTCTGATAGCACAGCTTTCAGCCGCGACGACGGGAGGTAAAGGTACGCCCAGCCCCCAAACCCACCGCCGCTCATCCCATCTGTCCCCGCTCAGAGCCCTACCTGACGGCAGGGGACGGCCTGTGCGTTTGTGCGTTTCCAAGGGCCACCTTCCTGGAGTCCCTCGGAGTCACTGAGGGGCTCGAACCCCCAGCCTCTGGGTTACCAGCTGGGTGCTTTAACTACGGTGCCACCAAAAACTCACTGCCCTCAAGTTGATGCCAGCTCCCACCGAGCCTGCAGGACAGGGTGGAACTGCCCCTGCGGGTGCTGAGACTGCCATTCTCTATGGGAGCAGAAAGCCCCATCTCTCCCCAGAGCCGCCGGTGGTTTCAAACTGCTGACCTTGCGCCTAACAACCCAACTGGTAACCATGGCACCATGGAGTCAGTGCTGACGCTGACTCACAGCGACCCCAGTGGGTGTCCGAGACTGACCTTTCATGGGAGGAGAGAGCCCAGTCTCTCTCCCGCGGGGCTGCTGATGGTTTCAAACTGTCGAGCATACAGAACGCATGCCAACACAGAGCCACTGCCCCCCCCTCCCAGAAACGCACCTAAAACCACTGCCATCGAGTCAATTCTGACTCACAGCCCCCCACCCCCCATGATGGGCAGAGAGGACTTCCCCTTGGGGGTCCTGGGCTGTGACTTCTTACCAGCGCAGGCAGCCGCATCTTTCTCCACAGCACTTAGCGGACAGCATCACAGGCTCCCCAAGGGTGTGGAAGGGAGACACGGTGGGTGGGAGGGCAGCCACCCAGGGTCCCCCAGGCCTGCATGGCCCTGACGCCTTCCCCGCCTCCCCGCCCACCCCCACAGGGCCTGAAGAGTGGCTCCTTCTTCTACCCCGGAGGGAATGTCACCTACCAGGGCATGGCGGTGACGCAGAGCCGGAAGGAGGGCATCTTCCACAACTACTCCAAGGAGCAGGAGTGGAGGGCCAACATCGACACAGTAATGCGCTGGTTCACCCAGGACGGCCTGGACCTGGTCACGCTCTACTTCGGGGAGCCGGACTCCACTGGCCACAAGTTCGGGCCCGAGTCCGAGGAGAGGAGGAGCATGGTGAGGCAGGTGGACAGGACCGTGGGCTACCTGCGCCAGCGCGTCCAGGAGAGCGGCCTGGCCGGCAACCTCAACCTGGTCATCACCTCGGACCACGGCATGACCACCGTCCACAAGGAGGCCGGCGACCTGGTGGAGTTCCACCAGTTCGCCAACTTCTCCTTCAAGGACATCGAGTTCGAGCTGCTGGACTATGGACCCAACGGGATGCTGCTGCCCAAGGAGGGCCAGCTGGACGCGGTGTACAGAGCCCTCAAGGACGCGCACCCCCGGCTCCACGTCTACAAGAAGGAGGAGTTCCCCCCGGCCTTCCACTACGCCAACAACACCCGCATCACACCGCTGCTCATGTACAGCGACCCCGGCTACGTCATCCACGGGGTACGTGGCTGCGGGCCCCACAGACCAATAGAAAGTAGCCTGTGGGGAGCCCGGCGAGTGCAGTGGGTTAAACGTTAGGCTGCTAACCGAAAGGTCAATGGTTCAAAACCACCCGCTGCTCTATAGCTGGCTGCTCCCCTTTAAAATGCTACAGTCTCGACCCCACAGGGTAATTCCACGCTGTGGCGCAGGCGCTGTGAGTCCGACCCACTGGATGGCCGTGGATGAAGGAGCCCTGAGGGCGTGGTGGTTAGGGGCTTGGGCTGCTGATCACAAGGTTGGCAGTGTGAAACCACCAGCCGCTCAGAGCGAGAAAGATGGCATTCTCTGCTCCCAGGAGATTTCCACAGGGACCCAGAGACGGTGGAAGCTGAAAAAGGGTGGGGGTGCAGGGGAGGGTAGAGGAGGCTGGGGACAGTGGGAGAGGCTGGGGGAACTGGGGACACTGGCTGGGGACAGTGAGAAGAGGCTGGGGGAAGCTGGGGACGGGGGGACCTGGGGACAGTGAGGGAGGCTAGGGGGAGTTGGGCACAGGGGGGGAACTGGGGCTTGGGGTAGATAGGGACAGTGGGGGAATCTGGGGACAGTGGGAGAAGGCTGGGTGGAGCTGAGGACAGTGAGGGAATCTGGGGACAGTGGGAGGAGGCTGGGTGGAGCTGGGGACAGTGAGGGAATCTGGGGACAGTGGGAGGAGGCTGGGGCAGCGAGGGAACCTGGAGTCCCCCAGGAGCCCAGAGCGCCCCCTCCCCCTGCAGAGACTGAACGTCCAGTTCAACAGAGGGGAGCATGGCTTTGACAACGGGCACCAGGACATGAAGACCATCTTCCGGGCAGTGGGGCCCAGCTTCTGGGCTGGCCTGGAGGTGGGGCCGTTCGAGAGCGTGCATGTGTACGAGCTCCTGTGCCGACTGCTAGGCATCCAGCCTGAGCCCAACGACGGGCGCTTGGCCACCCTCCTGCCCCTGCTCCGCCCGGACCAACACTGCCCAGGTGGGTCCTGGGCTAGGAGGGGACCTGGCACCAGAGGCCCGAGGACTCAAGCTTCCGCCAGGCAGGCCGCTGTCCCCAGCATGGCCCTGCCAGGGGCTCCTTTCTGCAAAGCCCCCTCCATTAGCCCCTCACACACGCCGAGACCCTTACCCTGCTCTGAAAGCTGCCAAGACAATGGTCCCTGGGGATCCTGGCTAGGGCTGGGCAGGTGACAGGGGAGGGTGGTGGGCCATGACATGGGGGCCTGTGGCTGGTCTGCAGGGTGACCCTCAGGCCCCTCCTGCCCCTCAGATGCTGCTCCCCGCACGAGTGGCCGGCTGCCCTTGGTGATGGCACTGACCACGGTGGTGGCTCTTCTGGTCAAGCTTGTGTGACAAGGACCGAGCACAAGGTCAGAGGCAGAGGCGGGGACGCTGGGGGTATGGGTTCCCACTCTCGGCCTGGTGCTCCTCAGGAAGCCAGAGCTGCTGGCTGGCCACTGACTGACCGGCCTGCTGCCATCCGGGGCCAGCGACATTCAGGTTGAACTTCCTGCAGCCACTCTTCTTTGGTCTTGAAATCAGAAACACACACACACACACACACAAACATGCATACACACATGCACACATACACACACACAGGCACATACACTATATGCACATGCACACATGCACACACATATACATACACATGCATATATACATACTCACTAACATACATGCACACACAAACACGCACATGCACACATACACACATATACATACACATGCACATACACATGTACATGCACATGCATATATACATACACACTAACATACATGCACACACAAACACGCACATGCACATATGCATACACATGTACATGCACATGCATATATGCATACACACTAACATACATGCACACACAAACACGCACATGCACACATACACACACACACACACCGTTGATGCCGAGCCAGCTCTGATTCCCGGCAGGCAGCCCAGTGCTCCTGAGTAGAACGGGGCTCCCAGGGCCCTTGGGGGCTGACTGCTCAGTGGGTCTCCCAGCCTTTCTTCCTGGGCCTTGATGTTCACAGCTGAACACACCAACCCTGTGTATCGCCCAAAGCAAACAGCCCAGACGCTCTCCAGGCAACCCCAGAAACCCTTCTTCCCAGAGCTGCCTGCCTCCCCCACTCCTGTCTAGGTCCCTGCCCCCCCACACCCACTCCTACCCCCCACAACAAGGGAGACCCAAAAGTCATCCAGGGGCTTGTGTTTCCGGCTGCAAACATGGGCTCTGGGACATGCCCAGCCCTGGCCCCGGGGGACTGCTTGCTGGCTAAGGGACAGTTTCCCTTGTGACTTTGCCTAGGGGGTCAACACCCTTGTGGTCAGGGCCAGGAATCTCTCCTGGGGAGTGAAGGCATGGGGCCTGGGGACAGAGCGTCCCCTCTGCAGAGTATCACTTGGGTCCTGGGCAGGCCGCTACCCTGTCGCTGAATTCTGGATGAGATGAGCCAGGCCAGGCTCTGAGGAAGAGGGGTCACCAGGTGGGGCCACCAGGGCACCAGGTTGACCCTTCAGCAACTGGTACGGGTTTGGAAGGCCCAGCTCACAGGCAGATCCTGCCTGTCTTAGAAGGGGTATGCGCTGGCCCTCCCTGACTCTCACGTCCTTTGGACAGGTTGTCGGGGGAGAGTGGTCCCTGGAGAAGGACATCACGTTGGGTGAAGGAGAGGGGCAGTGGAACAGAGGACGGCTCCAGCACCCCAGGGCCGGGCGGCGCTTCCTTCTGTCGTGTGCAGGGTCGCTGTGGGTCAGAACCCACCCGGTGGCACCTGACACCAGCAACAGCAACAACAACGGGACAATAAATCTGAAACAACAGAAAAACTCGGACCCACCCTGACTGGCAACAGATTCTTCCCAGCGGTTCCCTTCACTTGTGGTGGGGGCCGGTTTTAAGTCTTTGAAAAGGCTCCTCTGCGCCCGACTTTCCTTCCACGACATCGTTCTTGTGAGGTGGGCTCTGGCCCCAAACCCAGCAGAAGGGCTCCCTGCCCGGCCCCGCCACCCTCCCAATCCCAGTCCCGTAGGGGGGCCACTTGGCAGGCACCGGGTCAGCCCAGCTCCTTGAGAGTCCTCCTCTTTTTCATTGAGGTCTCCCCTCACCCAGCCCGACGGCCCCCTCCAGGGACTGGTCCCTCCTGGTAAAATGCCCAAAGCCAACACGGCAGTGACAAACCTACCTCACTGACCACCTGGTCGGTGCGGACGCACGGCCCCCCGTGGGTTCCCGAGGCTGTCACTGTTGGCGGGAGTGGAAAGCCCAGGCTTTCTCCCCGGAGCTGCCAGTGGTTTCGAACTTGCGACCATGAGGATCGCAGCCCAACATGTAACCACGACGCCACCAGGGCTCCTCATTTTCAAGGCAGCCACCGGAAATAAGAACTGAGTGTGCCTGCCCGTGTGACCTACAAATCCGACTTGTGAGGTTCAGTCTGCAAATATGAGCAGAGGCAGAGGTGGGGGTGGGCAGGTGGAAGGTGAAGCTTTGGGTGAGGGCAAGAGATTCTGGGACGGGAGGGTGGTGGGGAGGTTCCTGGGCAGGGTGGGGTGGAGGGGAGCTTGTGGAGTTCAGCAAACCCATCTCCAAAGACCCTGCTCAGACTCCAAGCGCTGCATTTGAGCAAGTCTGCAGCTCCCAGCGAGGTGTTCCCGCCACCCACAGCCACCCCCTGGGGACCCCGTTGGCAGGGACCTTCCCAGTAACCTGCTTCCCAGATGGGCAAACCGAGACTCTGGGAGGGCCACACAGCCCGCCTGCAGGAGAACGTGGACTGGACACGCCAGGCATCTGTCAGGAGCTGACAGACGCCTGGTGTGTCCAGTCCACATTCTCCTGCAGGTGGGCTTCCCGTGGGGCAGTGGCCGAAATGCACAGAAAGGGATGGGGGGAGGGCTCAGTCCCCACGCTGCCACCAGGTCCCACTCTGGGCCAGCCCATGGTCAGCCTTCTTTGGTGTCCTGCCAGCCAGGGGGCGGTTTTGGGCCTAAACAAGCAACCCACATGCAGGCACATCTGCGCACACATGCAGGCACATGCACACACACGTGCATCCACCTTCTTCTCGCCTGGCCCCGCCCCTGGGGGTGGCATTTCGACTTTCCCCAGAACGATGTACCTTGAAGATAAGGAGTCCGTTCGCGCTTCCTATCGCCTTGATTATAATTGCCTTGGTTTTGAAAACAAAGTCCATTTTTATTTCCTACTCTGTCTGTCTCCCTGTTTGTCCAGCCAGAGTCTACACTCCCATAAGAATGAATGGGTTCTTCGGAGACCAGAGGAATTAGATGGTACCCGGCTATGGTGACCAACTAGAGCAGTGGTTTTCAACCTTCCTAATGCCTCGACCTTTTAATACAGCTCCTCATGTGGTGGTGACCCCCAACCCTAAAATTATTTTCGTTTCTACTTCGTAACTATAATTTCGCTACTGTTATGAATTGGGTGGCCTCTGTGAAAGGGTCTTTTGACCCCCAAAGGGGTCACGACCCACAGGTTGAGAACCGCTGAACTAGAGGGTCTTGGAGGCTGTGGGAGACAGCCTCTAAATTCGCTTCCAAGAGCCGAGGTTGCCCACGCTGATTTGGCCTATGGGCCCCTTTTCAATAAAAAAAAGAGGAGACCGGTATTACGAACGGCATTTCAGAATCTTATCTTCTCTCTTCAAGGCCCCTCACCTGCACTGGAAGTGATTACCACCCATGGATCGGCCCAGGGCCCCCCAGGAGGTGGTATCACTCACACGGGGAGCCCTGCTCTAGTGGAACTGCTCAGGGGCACCAAGTCTGAAAGCAGTTTTCCGGGGAGCTGAGGGAGGCACCCGCCCGCCGTGCACCTCAGGCCCTGGCAAAGTCCACAGACACTGCCCCCTGTCCTGTTTGGCTGAGCGTGGCTGGCTTTTTCATCCGCTATATTATTTTAACAGGACGCGGAGTCTCCTTCTAAAACTAAAAAGAAAAGGTTTGCTTAAAAGCCAATGTTAGCTAAGTGGCGGTGCAGGTGGACACACGTGGCCAGTGTCTGAAGGAGACCAGCCAGTGACTAGACGTCAGCTCTGATCTCGCCTGCCCTCTCCTGCCAGCTTTCTGGGCAGCCGAGAAGGAAGCTTCTAGAGGGCCATGCAGGATGTCCAAGGCCCCCTGAGGCCCCTACAGCAAAGTCACTGCTGCCTGGTTTTGCTCAGCTGTCCTGCCCTGCATGCTGCCTGCCCGCTCATCATCCTGAGCTCAGGATGCTGCTGACGGGGTCATTTCAGGACATGGACCAAGCTCACGCTACTCTCGGCCTGAGGAAGATGCAGGCCAGAGAAGAAACCGGTGTTAAGCCAATCCAGAGACACTCACATATGTGTAAGAAAGAGCTTTCTCTCAAGAAGTAATTGTATATCAGGAAAGCATCCGAGCCCAGTCCAACTCAAGTCTGATACTAATCCATCATCCCTCTTCAACTCACGCAGCCACATGCAATGATGCGGAGTGCAGGAAGATCACAGGCCCGTGGGTGCAGAGTCCTGTGGATCCAGCGGCGGTGGAAGCACCATGCAGAGAGAGAGGGCGGCCCACCCCCAGAGAGCCACTGATCTCAGTGGCACCTCCAAATGAGATCATCAAGCTGTGACCTGATGGGCAAGCTAACCTCCACCCTGATCTTCTTACAGGTGCCGTGTTGGCCCCCAAAATCTTAACTATCATGAAGACCACCTGGAATGAGGCTGCCCGCTGCATTCTGAAGCCAAATGGCACCTCTGGAGACACCTGAGGTTATGAGACACTGTCGAGTCGTGTCCGGCTCCCAGTGACCGGAGGTACAACAGAAGGAAACACCACCGGGTCCCGCGCCGTCCTCACAAGGTCCTTGTGTTCGGGCCCCTGGTTGCAGCCACTGTGTCCGTCCGTCTCCTTGAAGGCCTTCCTCTTTTTTGTTGACCCTTGTGTGAGTCCGGGTGGACTAGAGAAACAAACCCATAGACACTCATATGTGCATAAGAAAGAGCTTTATATACAAGAGTAATTGTATGTTAAGAAAACATCCCAGCCCAGATCAAGTCCATAAGTCCAATACTAGCCCAGATGTCCGATACCAGTCCATAAATTCCTCTTCAGACTCACACAACATATGCAATGACGCTGAGTGCAGGAAGATCACAGGCCAGTGGGTGGGAAGTCTTATGGATCCATTGGTGGTGGAAGCATCTCAGTGCTGGCGTGGGTCTCCACGTGGCTCCTCCAGCTCCAGGGCTCTGGCTTCCATCAGCATCGCTCCATGTGGCTAATCAACAGGAACATCTCAAAGAGAGATGAAGCAGAGAGTATCTGAGTCCTGCCTCCAGGGAGCTATTTATCTCCTTAGCGCCTCCAAATGAGGTCATCAAGCTGCGACCTGATTGACAGGCTGAACTCCACCCCTCCACTCTTCATAGTCTCAAGTTGACACCAGATTATGTCAGTACCACAACACGCCACTTTAGTAACCAGCATGCCCCTTTCTAGGGATTGGTCTCTCCTGATAACACGCCCCACGTATGTGAGGCCGAGTCTCACGATCCTTCCCTCTAAGGGGCGTTCTGGATGCTCTTCTTGCCACACCGATCTGTTGATTCTGCTGGCAATCATGGTACTGCCAATATTCTTGGCCGGCACCATAGTTCAAATGCATCAATTCTTCTTTACAAATTAAATGCAATTCCAATCCAAATCCCACCACAGTTCTGCAAAGACATGGAAACACGAATCACCAACTTTATATGGAAGGGAAGAAAGCCAAGATAAATAAAACACTATTAAAAGAGAAAAACAAAGCAGGCGGCCTTTCGCTCCCAGATTTCAAAGCCTATTCTATGTCCATGGTGACCAAAACAGTCTGAAACCGGCACAGCAATCTATGTGAAGACCAGAACTCAGAACCCAGAAACACAGCAAGCACCTAGGGACACCTGCTTGTCAAGAAAGGACTGAAACACACGAAATGGGCACGAGAGGGCCTTTACATCAAATGGTGCTGGAAAAACTGGATCTTCACCTGCAAAAGAATGAAACAGGACCCCTACCTCACACCGTTACAAACACAAACTCAGGATGGGTCAAAGACCCAAAAACAAATCACACAACCGTAAAGACCATCAATGAAAAAATAGGTAAACTTAGACGAGCCAGTCAGGGTGCGATGTAGCAACGATGAAAAATACAACTTTCCTCTAGTTCCTAAATGCTTCCTCCACCCCACACCACCCCCACTATCATGATCCAAATTCTACCTTGCAAGTCTGGCTAGACCAGAGGCTGTACACTGGTACAGATAGGAACTGGAAACACAGGGAATCCAGGGCGGATGATCCCTTCAGGACCAGTGGTGAGAGTGGCGATACAGGGAGGGTAGAGGGAGAGTGGGTTGAAAGAGGGAACCGATTACAAGGAACTAAATGTGACCTCCTCCCTGGGGGATGGATGATGAGGCAGGGCTGGCCACTCTGTCTGTCACTCGCCGATCTGTTAGGGACGGTTCAGCCAGGGCAGTGGTTCCCCCAGGGAATGCGTGTTCTCAGGCCCCTGGTCTACTGCTCCTCTCCGAACCTGCGGTCATTGCTTGGGACAGCTGGGATGCACCAATTCTTCCTTTATTTGATGTCCCGATTTCACATGCATACGAAGCAATTGAAGGTACTGCGGCCTGGCTCAGGCCTCACCTTGGTCCACCAGGTGCCCTCCGTGTCCTCCGAGACTTGACCGAGGTCTTGTGCAGCCGACAGACACAGTAGAATGCGACAGACACAGTAGAATGCGTCGCTTGACCTCTCGGCTGCTGCAGGAAGACAGG